GAAAGGTGACAGGATTCAGGACCTACCAAAATGTAGCACCTGGGCTTTGAGAAAACAGCAAAAGCAGGAAGGTCACCTTCAACTTCTCCCACCCACCTTACCTGGGGCAAGCCATGAAACCTAGAATGAATTTTCAAAACTTCCTCTAAAGTCAGTCATGAGACCTTTGTATGATAGCTGCACATCCTATATTTGGAGAAAAGAAATTTCCTGAATTCTGAAGCCACGGGAACACAGAGGAATATGATCAAAGAGGCTTTCAAAAATCCCCCCAGGTTACTCTTATTGTATCAGACCCCTTGGTCCAGTTAGACTTCTCCGTAGCTGTCCATTCTTTATCGCATCTAAGTATAAAAGTATACAGGCTTCTTGGTGTCTTTTGGTCTTCATTTCTCAAAGTTCTGGTGTCGTGTAAATTTTATACTACACAAAAGTGTATGTTTTTTCCCTTGCTACCCTACCTTTTTTGGTAAGGGACAACCTAGTGATGGGTGAGGAAAAAAATACATCTTTTTCTCTTCTAAAAAGGAAGGCTCCTGGCTCTGTGGCAATCTGTTTTCTGACCCTTTTCTATCTTGTTCTCAAGAAGAGAGATTGTTAATCAGATTTTCCTAACGAAGTATGCCAGTTGCTGGTGGGTAAGTCTTGTGCATTAAGGAGCCATGTCACTTAAGTATTTCTCTCCTTTATTTTCTTCTTTGATGTGAGTAGAGTGAATGGATTAAGACTTGTAATCTTAGGGTAATCTTTTCTTTTTCTATTTTTGCAGGCATGCCTAATTGTACTAATTGCTATTTCAGTTTGCTATACTTTGCAATTGGTCAGAGGATGATAAGATATTAATATATGGATTCTTGCTGATGAAGGTAGAGATTTTGCTTAGATATAATGTCTCTCACTCTAGCAGTATCAGACTTTTGTATTGGAGGTGAATTGAGCCTTCTCCCAATTATCATTAAAATGGCATTGTGATTTTTTTATATAAAATTTTTCTTTGTATCTCTCTCTCAAGATCTGTAAGGGGTGAAAGACACCGAAAGAACAGATTTGTATAGGTTTAGGTGCCTGGCTGGAATATATCAAACTCTACCATAATGCAACTTAGAAGAATTTATTTCTCAAGGTTTAACTTGTGAGCACAAAGTAATAGCTTATCCTCAAATATATTTTTTGGAATGAGAATGGGGCAGAATTTTACAGTTGGTGAATGAAATTTGAAAGAGAATGAGAGAGTAATGGATCTTATAGCCAATGAATGGAATAGTGAATTCCAATAAGGAAGATACAGTTCCACTCTAGGAAGAGGGTTAGGAAGAACACTTTCATGAGTGGAGCTGAGGCCTTCATCCATGTACTTCCTTTAGCTAGTTGGTATGGCATGTAGGTGACCAGAGGTGATTTAGAACATTTCTCCCCAATATATTTATGATATTAACCCTTAACCCAATTGTTTAGAAAAAAATTAGCTATACAACTACATATAACCCAAACGGTCTAAAAAATTTAAGGAGGTGAATATAATGTTATCAGTATTTATCTCATGCTATTATGTAGAAATATATATTTGGGTAGTCTCCCCCCACTTTTTTTGCTGACATGTCATTGTACCTCAGAATCAATGTAAAATGACAAAACTCTGCGCCTTGTCATGTAAATTCCAGTATAAGTGGCATTTCAGTCCGTATCACGTCTGGCTTCCATTTTTATGAAAACAAAGTGTATAGTCAAGAATGATGATTACCCTTGTGAATAGGTTCTCAGAATTCAAGTTAAATATTTATTGTAAATGTGTTGTTTCATTTTTCTTTTTCATCTTCTTAAGTAATGAGGGTGGCTTTCCAAGGCCAATTCTTGCAAGAAGCATTATTTATTCATTCCAAAACATGTTTTGTTGCCTAGAGTGAAAGATGTTTTTGTGTGGTTTGATTATATTGTTTTTTGGTCTTATGATTATCCTTTAATTCCATCTTAATCCACTTCACTTCACTTTAGCAAGAATCATCACATGATAAAAAGCAATGATGAAAAGGAGGTTTCTAAAACAAAATAGACTCTTTTTCTAAGACTCAAAATACTATGTAAAACTAGACAGGGATAAATTAAATAAATAACTTCTGCTACTCAAGATCTATTGCTGGATTGTTTGATTTTGTAAATGTTACATTCTTTGCAATTATTTGTTTCCAATTACAAGTCAACTTATTTACTATATGTTCATGTCCCATCACTTGAAAAATATTTAAAGCTGAAATGTGCTGAAAATTACATTTTTAGTGTATCATCTAATTTAATTTTTGAGTCATTTCAAGGAAGAGTGAGTACTAATATTCCCCACTTTACATATGCGAACTTGAGCCTAAATAATTCATTCAAGACAACTCTGCTACTATGTGGCAGAGACAGAACTGCCTATATTAGGAGCCAAGCACTTAACTCAACCTAAGGCATACCATAAGGTTCAAATCAATTCATTTTTGGAGTTCATCAGCTACTCCTATAATTCAAAAAAGTCTAAAAACAATGATTGTATGAAATAATCATATCTAGCTAATAAAGTTATTGAGATATTTTTTAAAAATGACTTGGCTAAATTTCCAATAATTACTTCCAATAATGAACCCACAAAATCACCAAAATGGGCATCATATTTTGTTTTGATCGAAAAATTATTTATGAGTGACAAAAAGGAGTAATTTTTTTTCAGTAAAATTTATCAGTTGCCAATGAATCAGATATTGCCTTGTATTTGTGGCCTTCCACACAAAGCAAACACCTGGGAGGAGACAGGAGATCAGCTAGGTTTAGATGAGAAAACCTTGGTTTAATGTCTCAGTCATTTCCATTTCCTCTAGACTTTTCATGGGTGAAATTACATAATTTAATATTATAACTTCTACTTTCATGAAGTTTGTTCCCCAGATGGCTGACTAAAATTTATTCCATCACCTTGAGGTTATCCAAGTGTCGTACAAAGCAGAACTAGGATGTGGGGGCAAATATACACGGACCTAAAATAGTTTGTTTGAAGCTATAAATACTTAAGTGTATTGGAATCTATGGTACATTTTTTTTTTTTACTAAGAACATGGATGTTAACAATTGGCAGAAACAAGTTAAGAGCCTTTGGCTATGTTCTAGGATTATTTTCTTTCTAGTTCATTAAAAATGTGCATGTAGGGCAGTCACAACTCCTTGTTCAGAGAGCTAAGGGGTTCTTGTTGGCCTATCTTAACCACCTTACCAAATGACTACCTATGGCTAAATGTATTATAACTTCAGCTCTTTTTTCCTCAACTCACCTTTATGTACTCTCACCACATCTCGATAACACTCTGAACCTTTCTTGGTCCCTTGCCCTATTAGTATGGCTCTGCAAATTACTTTGTCCACTTGTAATGTCTTCTCTTTCCACACCCACTCATGATTCCTTCCTTTAAATATTTAACTCCTTTACTTGAGAAATCTTTGATTCCTTTCCACTCCAAGGTGCTTCATTCATGCAAGGTTTTTGCAATTCACTAACCTGGATCTGTTGATATGTTTGTTGCATTGCAACAAGTGTTGTCGATCATTTTCACAGATTTATGTTGTCTCTCTCAAAGGGGAATTATGAAGTCTTTAAGATGATGTCTTCCAAAAATTCCATCTACACAGAGAACCTTTAGTATTCAAATCAAAAATTTTCTGAATAAAGGCTGTTGATTGATAGGCTTCCTATGCATTCTGATCTAAGCAAACCAATACAATAATAACCAGTACAATAATTTGAACATCTTTTACTTCTTTAGAAGAATTAAAATGTGAGAAATACCAACCTGTAGCAATTCTCACATTGCTCTTTTCTACTTTAAATTGATAGGAAATATGTGACCACTACAGAAATTGTGTCTTGGACGTGACTATGGTGGTGAAATCAGATATAAAACATCTATACATTACTTAATTTAAAAAGTTAAACAGAATTATTGGAGTTCATGTGTAACTAGATGTTCTTGTGAATTCATCTTCAGGTCTCATGTATGTTGATCAGAAAGATGTATCTGAATTGCCAGGAAGCATGGTAAGTTGGAAAACACATCAAGAAAGATGTAATGGAAAGTTGAAACGCACATCACACATTTACAATTACCTCCTGAGTATCCATGGATAAATACAGAATTGGAAAATTCATAAAGATGGAAGACGACGCGGGGGGAAGGTTCGGAGTGGAGCGAGGTCTATAGATAAGTTCTGGTTCCAGGCTAGGGGCGTTGGCTTGTTTGGAATCCATTCGCGGGTCGCTGATTAGATTCAGCACGCTGGCCAGCTCCCCCGCCCTGCGGGTTTATTGGCCTTAGTGAAAGGAGCGCGGAAGGAAGGCACCATCTGCTGCTTTGTATTAATAGATTCTCTGAGAGGTAGGGGTGCAGACGGCGCGACAGAGCCAAGGCATTAGATGTGGACGCCGCTGAGTTCCTGGGGGTGTCTTTGTCTTATTGTGGGGTCCCCAGATTCTCCCGCCAGAATGGAGGCAGGGATGAACAATCAGAAACCCTTCTCTTTCTCCTTAGCGGAAAGTAATCACAGTTCTTAAGAACTGAAGACTACTCATCACAGCTGTAGGGGCTAAGACAAGGGCGGGGGTTGCACCAGTTCAGCTGTAGGGTAGACCGACACTCCAAATTACTCAAAATTCCATCCACTCTGAGGCTAATTAGAGTGGGCGCAAGTGGAGTCAATGGTAGCATCAGAGTTTACACGAGCGGGACAGCCACGAGGCCCAGCCCCCACGCCCCAGGTGAGAAGCCCGGGGATGCCAGACGGACCTTTTCTTCCATGTCTGGGGTGTCGCTGGCTTCCTCTTGGGGTGAACTCTAGATTAACCGTCCGCTTGACCTCCGCCGCCAAGAAGTCCTCGCCGACTTCTCTACCCGCCCCCCCCCCCAAGAACTTTTTGTCCGTGTTTGGGGAAGGGGGCCCCAGGCAACTAGAGAGAGAGGATCAAAGAGGAAATTATCCACAAAGGGGAGGGGTCGAGAAGAGTGGGAGGTGTTGGGGTCTGGAGCCTGCGGCTCAGAGGCTCTGAGGCCGCCCCGGGCTCTCCCCAGCCTCCGGCCCTCTGTAGCCGCCCTTTCCGCCGCGGACACGGGAGAGTTAAGCCAATAAACACGTAAGCGCCGCTCCCTCCCCAATCGGCAAGATGCCTCTCCGGCTCTCGGCTGCATCGACAGCTTGCAACACTCGGCATCTTCTCTGGAGGCGCCTCCTTCAGCGGCTGCAGATGGCATTCGGCTGCGGGCTCGGGGCTCGCAATTGATTCTCCGCCTTGCCCACCTCGAGTTCACGGACGCACCTCTCCCTTCCCCTCCTCCTCTCGCGCTCCTGGGTCCCAGCCCAGCTCCCGTTCGCAGGCGGAGGAAGCAGTCGCAGCGGCCGAGGCTGAACGGCAGCGCGCTCGTTCCCTGACCTGGAGAGCAGCGCCCACCGGGGAGAGCCGACCCCCGGCTGCGTCCAGCGCCCCCCACCTTTTGCACCCCAGGTCAGGGGCTCCAGGGACCCCTCTCCCCAGGCGCCACCATGCTGGACCCTTCGTCCAGCGAAGAGGAGTCAGATGAGATTGTAGAAGAGGAGAGCGGCAAGGAGGTGCTGGGCTCGGCCGCGTCCGGCGCGCGCCTGTCTCCCAGCCGCACGAGCGAAGGCTCGGCCGGGAGCGCCGGCTTGGGGGCCGGTGTTGGTGGCGGCGCCGGGGCCGGGGTGGGCGCCGGCGGCGGCGGGGGCAGCGGAGCGAGCAGCGGCGCCGGGGCCGGGGGTCTGCAGCCCAGCAGCCGCGCCGCCGGCGGCCGGCCCTCCAGCCCCAGCCCGTCGGTGGTGAGCGAGAAGGAGAAGGAAGAGTTGGAGCGACTGCAGAAGGAGGAGGAGGAGAGGAAGAAGAGACTGCAGCTCTATGTGTTCGTCATGCGCTGCATCGCCTACCCCTTCAACGCCAAGCAGCCCACCGACATGGCTCGCCGGCAGCAGAAGGTAGGTGCGCCCGGGAGGCCCAGGCAGCCGCGCCGGGACGCCGCCGGCCGGGCGGGGCGAACAATGGGCGCTGGCGGCGCTGCTGGCGAGGAGGAGCCCAGGAAGGTGGAGACCGCGCCCAGGAAAAAGGGCTCCGAGCCCCTCTCCCGCAGCCTGGCTTGGCCCAGGCCAGCCCGGGGCGCGCCCAGGAGCTGCCTGGAGCCGGTGAAGGGTCTGGGGCGCAGCGCCGCGAGCCCAGGCCTCCCTGGCTGGGAGCAACAGAGGGAGCGAGGCAGGCAGGTGCCGCTTTCTGGCCCAGGAGGCTTGGGGAGTGACTTGCAGCTAGCGGCGCCCAGAGAGGCCTTGCTCGCAGGCAGGGCTCCCAGCGCTCTCCAGCGGCGGGCGGCTGCGCTCAGCTCCGGGCCCGCCTTCCTGGGCGTGCGCTCGGGCGCGCGGGCGAGCGCCGCAGGCAGGTGGGGGCTGCAGGGTGGAGGGAGAGGAGCGCCTGGCAGCTACACTCGGCTCATCCCGGCAAGGCAGCAAGCCTGAGGCGGGCGGGCCGAGGCAAGCCCGGAAGCCGAAGCTTCCCGTGACTTTGCGAAGGGCACGCTCCTCTCCCTGCCGGGGTCAGCTGATCATTGGCTCGGGCCGCCTAAGGAGCCTTGGGCGCCCCTGCCCTTTGGCCTGGGTTCTCTTCAATCCCCCTTTCCTCTCCTCACTGGCCCCAGAGCAGGTGCACGCCCTCGGGTGCTACTGCCCGGGTCAGCCCCTCCTCCTTCCTCCCTTTGACCCTGTTCTCTTCCCAAGGTGACTTCGCCGCCACCTTCTGGCTCGCCAGGGCGCTCCAAGCCCTGCGCTGCTGGCTCCATACAGTGCAGTTGCCAGAAGCCTCGCTATTAGAGGCATCAAAAGCTTTTTGTGTCTGAGGCTGGAGCAAGGCTAACTAAGGTGGCTCTGGGCTATCTTTGTGGGGTGGGGGGATAGTGGGGAGGTGGGCAGGGCATATTTCTATCAACTGTTCCCCAACCAGAGAAAGAAGGGTAAGGGGCGGCTACTGCATAATACTTGGCAGGAGTGGGGACCAGGTGCGAAGCAATCAGGAGCTCAGCTGGAGTGAATGAGTGAGTGAAGTAAGTCAGCGTCTCTTGTCTCTTGTAAGTGAATCTGCAGCACCTGAGGTAGGAGAAAAGCCAGTGAAGCCCCCGAGGGACCCCGTGAGAAGCCAGCTGTAATCTGAACATAGTGTTGTGAGGCTGGTTTCTTCCAACAGTGAATTTCTGGGTTGCTTTTCCCAATGCAAGTGTTTGTGGCAGTGATAGTGCAAGCTATTTCCGTATTTACCCAGCTTTATCTTGAGTTCGCGCAGATTTGACTGTTTAGCTTTTTTATGTACACACACCACCCAGAGCTGTTGGTTGATTTCAGCCATCAGAGGCTTGGAGATAAGTTCAATAGAAAAATCAGACCCATTTCCAGGGTCAGAGACAGCAGGTGGGCTACACCCATTTACTGGACCCTGGCTTTTTCAACCTTTGTTGGCCTAGAGTAAAGCAAAACAGTACCCTTAGAGAGCAGTGCAAGTTTTTTGCATACACATAGTCTAAGTTTTGAAATTTGAATGTTGGGTCCACAGAACCACAGAAGTCAAATTTCAGTTTGAAATCATGACAGTAATTTTTTTTCCTTAATCATGTGGGAAATTGAGTCTGCAAAATCGATCCCATGAGTCCCAGCACCAAGCAAAGATGCCCTATTCCTTTGGCAATGAAAACTGTGGTGACTTAAACTTTTCATTTATCAATCAAAGGCTTTAGAGCTCTGTCTTTGAAGTAGATGCTCAAGTCCAGCACTAGAATGGGGAGAGGAATCCCACAGAGACCCAATTCTTTTAAACAGAACCCTCAACCACTTGAGAAAGATCAGATGAGGCCAACTTTTTCTGATCTGATGGCATGTTTCACCTGAGTCCGTTCAAAGCTGTGGTTTTGAAGGGGCGCGCTGATACTGTTTTTACACACGACCTTAACATCAGAGAGACTCCAGGACAGATGGATAAGGCTGGCATTTGGTCAAAGTATTTTTAGTTGTCACAGCAAACTGTTGCTAAATATATATCAGGACAAAGCTGCCCCCAGAACTCTTGGCTATACTGAGAAACTGGAAATAGACATACACGCACGCACACACACACACACATATCTCCATATTACCAAAGGAGATAAGTTTTTCTGTTGCTGTTGGTTTTTAAAAAGTTTGTGGAGGATGAATATTGTGAAAAATCATGCATATATTTCAAAACCTTTTTATACCAAAGTAAACATTTTTTACTTTCAGTTTTCTATAAACTTTGGGGAGCTTCCATGTATCTTGAAAATTTAGTGCCTTTCTGGAAAAGGGTGTTATACTTTTTCTCCAAGTTCAAAACTTGGATTTCTTATTAAAAGAGAGCGATCATAGAAAGTAATTGAGGAGTTTGCATAATCATCCTGGTAGCGTCTAAAGCCAACAAGTAGGATTGATGTGCCAACATCAGTCCTGGAGGAATCTGAACTAGTAAATTAAACATGAGCTTATAGTAAAGTAAAAATGGAAGAACGAGGAAAAGGCAAAGTAAAAATAATGTAGAGAAAGGGGCAAAATGACATGGAAGGCGGAGGGAGAAAAAGGGAGAGATGAGAACTGTTGAAAAGAGCTTGCTGATTTCTGGAAGAGGAAAGATCATCTTTTACAGAGCATAATGCGAGTTACGAAACTATACAGTCTGATGCATACTGGCTGCCATTTTTCAAGTACTTGCTTTGTGTATGACACTCAGATAATTTTTAAAAAATATACTTAGTTTTTAGAAGAGCCTTAGATTAACTGAAACATTATGAAAGTAGTTTGCCCACGTACCCTATACCAAATTTCTATTACTAATATCTCTCAGTAGTATGAGGAATGTTTATATTTCCTAATTTTTGCCTGAATTCTATTTTCCGTTCTGAGATTATTTCTATTTCCCCTAGTAATCCTAAAAATGGCTAAGTTATGTTTCCCATTTTTCGAAAAGCTGAGACGCCGACGTTTGTGAGTTGCCGAAAGCATGAAAGCTGGGAGTGAGACGGGGTGTGGTGGTTCCAGTAACTTTCTAGTAGGAGACACACCTCAGAAATACTCAGGGATGAAAACAGAGCTCTAGAAGCCTGACAGCATGTCAGAGGTTCGTCTTTACCCAGGTTTTTTTATACTTGAGTTAGGAGAGGACCACCATTCTTCCTGTCAGGACCTACCAAATAGTGTGAGCAAAGTAGGTTGTTAGGTACTAACCTCGTAAAGAATATGGAGATAAAGTGGTTGCTAGCTTGTCAATCTAAACACCAAGGACTGCTGACAGCTTATATATGTGGTTCAAATGGAAAGAAAAAATAGTTTAGCTGAGAAGATCACATAGAAAGGAGGAGAGGGAGAGGTACCATTGCTCTAATAATTTCTATAATTAATTACTTTGGTCTCACTTTTACTGAGAAAAAGGGTGCCTGGGCAGTCTAATAATGTTTCCAGTTCAAAGAGGGGATAGGTTTTTTTTGCTTGCTTTACTATGAATCTAAACATTAGCATGGTGTATGTTAGTACTTAGTACCTAAACAAAACCTCTGCTCACCAGAGCATCACCGTATATGTTTCAGCAGCTCAGAAATAACAATCTGGAAAAATAATCCTTGGCTTTCTTTCTCTTCTCTTTTTGTCAGAATGGTAGAGTGAATACCTAGAAGTTGGCATGACAACTACACCATCTGTTTCTGAATTATGTAGTAACGGTGCTGGGTGGCTACCTCGTTTGAACTGGCTACATATAGATGTTAGCCAGAGAATGTAAAAGCAGGCACTGTAAACAACTCTGCGTGACATTTAAATGGACATAGCTGATTTTTGAAATTATTGGGTAGAGATTATTCATAATGCTTTATTACAAGTAGTCTAAAATAGGCATGCAGATTGTAGGTGTGTATCACATATGTGTCTCTGTGTATATAGGCATATGCTTGGGGAAAGAGACAGTCCTAAAATTAAGTCGGTCCTATAGCAACTCCTATTTCATTCAAAAGGACTTTATGACTAGACCAAGTGTGTTAGAAATTCAAACTACTCATTTTCATGTGAGTCAGCTTCTGTCTTCCCATGAAATTATGGCTAACGTTGAGTCACTGTTAGCCATAGAAATTCCATCTTATTTTCATTTATTTACTTTATGTAGGCATGACTCAAAATTCATATTTGTCATAAAATTTAAGATACAGTGCTAGTCAACTATATATGTGTATATGAGTATGCATTTTAAATCAATAATAGTAATTCACCCATTCAGATACACTCTGTGGCCTTTTGGTTTACCCAAGTATTCAAAACTCATCAGTCTGACTTCTTCAATGTCAATGCAACATAGAATTTAAAAAAAAAATTATTTGACAGAGTTAGAGAGGTAGACACACAAACACACACAGAGAAGAGAGAAGAGAGATCTTGCATCCGCTGGTTCACTCCCCAAATTGCTGTGACGGCTGTCACTAAGTGATTGGTGAATGAATTGTTTGTCCCTTCATCAGGAGAAAAATTTATACTTTTTGACATTTCTTTCCCAGTCTCCTTGGTACAATGGCAAGATCTGCTATTCACTCATGCTAGCAGAGACTTCTCAAGTTGAAAGAATACTGAAAAAGTAATGAGAGAGGTTCTTGCCTCATTACACACCTGGAATAGCTTTATGCTGCCCTAAAATTGGGCTGAAGAACAAAGGAAATTAAATCTTCTGTTCTTGAAAAATTGCCCTGTGTAAAGTGACGAAAAGTCAAATGATGCAGAGATCTTTCCCTGCAAAAGCAAATTCAGTACACAGTGATAGGTTATCACATTGAAATATAACCAGTATTTGTGATGGAAGCCAGGTGTGTATGAAACTGAAGCTAGAATGATCGAGAGAATTCTAACTTTGAACTAAGTTCTAAATAGGTGCCAGTTGCTCATTGCAGGAAGAACTCAAC